CAACGGTGGTGGTGGGACCTGGCAACCCTTTTAAAAATCTGCACTGCCAATCAAATATCAGGATTTGTATCCTTTCCCCTTTATGTGTTACTGTGACCAACAAGAACATAGACGGAACACACATGAAGCTGCCTTATACTGGATCAGACCATTGGTCTATCAAGGTCAGTATTGTCTCCTCAGACTGGCAGTGGCTCTCCAGGGTCTCAGGCAGAGGTCTTCCACGTCACCTACTTCCTGTTCCTTTTAACTGGAGATGCTGGGGATTGAACCTGGGACCTTCTGCATAGCAGGCAGATGCTCTACCACTGAGCCATGGACCCTGCCAGGAATGCTTTCACCTACCGGAAGACTCAGCAAAAGGCCTCGCAATGAATCAGTGTAACTGGTTGTTAGGGGAAAGAAACTGCATCTGAACATGCAAAACTCCAGGTAATTGTGAATTCCTCTGGCAGCTCTTCGGGGAAGGACAGTCGCTTGCCTCTGTGATCCTCCCCTAAGTGCAAGCTCATTTCAAGCAAAAAGAAACGCTTGGGGGGTCCTATCTGCTTTCTGATGTGGTCAAAGTTAAGCAGCAAGCTAATATATCATCAGTTGGGTATAAGAATTTACATTTTCCCCCCTATCCTCTCTGAAGAAGGAAGACTACCACTCCCCATATGGATCCGTGGCTCTCCCAGGTATCCCAAGTAGCATCTGCTGATGGCTCCCTCTGCCTAGCAGATTACAACCCCCTGGGTGTAGGACAAGGGACCGAGTGGATGTGATTTCTGAATGTGATTTTTGATATTCTTTTCCTCATATATACTGACAGCTGTCACTGCGCCTTCATAAGAGTCTAATCATAGTTTATTCAGATTTTGGTATTTAGCCCAGACGGAAGAAAGCCATAGAAGAACATAGTAGATATATTTTATAAAGGCATTTTCCTGTATAAGAAGTTAAATTAAGCAAAAGTATTATTAGAGGCCTCTGGAGACGTAATTAGAATGCAGTAGAATGGAATGTACATCTGGAAGTTGCAAGGACACGAGGTAGCGAAAGTTAGAAGATGAGCTTCTCCAAACAATAATTGCTTTTGTTAAGCACGGCAGATGGCCTCAGGAAGCCTGCCATGACCCACGTTTAATGTGAATCTTTGGTACCTTATCAGCGAGCTCCCCAAAGCGAGGCGGAGGGAAACTAGCCTCGCTGGGCCAGAGAGGGTCCCAGTGTTCCTTAGTATTTTCCATTGTTCTGAGGACCAGATAAGCTTGCGTAAGCTAACGTAATTACGGACACCCCTGACCAGCAGAAAAGAACGCAAATGGGGAGGTTTTGAGTCAAACGAGTCAAATCATGCTCTAGTGATGCCACCTGCCTGGTGCCAATTAGGAATTCTGTAAAGTGTAAATTATAAGTGATGTCATATGGGGTATAAGACCTTCTGCCCTTCCTGGTTATGGCAGGATACAGCTTGGCGTTGCTGGGGGCCAAAAGGTACTCAGCCCTGTATCTCCTGTTTCATTGTAGTAAACAAATTTATCTAACTTGTTGGACTCTTAACTGCGTATTTCCAATTCGGCCCCGGGAGCACACGGGCACAGATTTGTGCATCATGGGCAAGAGCTAGATTCCTTTTTGGCTCCAGAATGCATCTACACTGAGTGAGAATCAATGAATCCCAGTTAGAAACGAATTCCGGCTACCTGAGATGCACAAATGCAGGTGGGTGGGTTAACCCGAGTTAGTATTCCCTCTGTGAACTGGGTAGGGTTGCCGGGTCTGGGTTGGAAAATACCTGGAGACTTTGGGGGTGGATCCAGGAGAGGGTGGGGTCTGGGGAGGGGAGGGGCCTCAGCATGGTACAATGCCCATACAGTCCACTCTCGAACGCCGCCATTTTCTCCAGAGAGCTGATCTCTCCCAGCTGGAGATCAGTTGTAAAAGCGGGAGATCCCCAGGCCCCACCTGGAGGCTGGCAACCCTAGAACTAGGACTGCAAACTAGAAGTTAGAATCCTTGTTAGTGAGGTAGAAAAATGATCCTGCAGTTCACCTCCATGCCTACATTTGTACGTCACAAGTACACATAAACACGTGAAGCTGCCTTATACTGAATCAGACCACTGGTCCATCAAGTATTGCCTATTTAGATTGGCAGCCACCCTACAGGGTCTCAGGCGAAGGTCTTTCCCATCACCTCCTACCTGGCCCTTTTAACTGGAGATGCTGCAGATTGAACCTGGGACCTTCTGCATGCAAAGCAGAGGCTGTATCACTAAGCCTCAGGCCCTCCCAAAACATAAAGACACATGAAGCTGCTTTCTACTGAATCAGACCACTGGGGTCCATCAAGTATTGCCTACACAGACTGGCAGCCACCCTACAGGGTCTCAGGCGAAGGTCTTTCCCATCACCTCCTACCTGGTCCTTTTAACTGGAGATGCTGTGGATTGAACCTGGGACCTTCTTCATGCAAAGCAGAGGCTGTATCACTAAGCCTCAGGCCCTCCCAAAACATGAAGACACATGAAGCTGCTTTCTACTGAATCAGACCACTGGGGTCCATCAGGGCCAGTATTGCCTACTCAGACTGGCAGCAGCTCTCCAGGGTCTCAGGCTGTGATTTTTTCACATCACTGGCTGCCTGGTTCTTTATTTATTTATTTTTTATTTAACTTTCAACTTTATATCCCGCTCGAACCCCTTTTGCAAGGGGTCTCTGAGCGGCTTACAGGCAGGTGCTAATCACATTATTCCCTAACTAGGGCCACATTTCTATACGGGGGTGGGACTACCTACCGGCACCCCGTGGTGGTTGGTGTTGTTCTTAACTCGGCTCTTCAGGTCTTTTCTTCGGCAGTCTCCGGCGGGATGTTCATTCCGGCGCTCGGGCGGGTTGGAGATGCCGAGGATTGAACCTGGGGCCTTTTATATGCCAAGCCAGTGCTCTGCCACTGAGCCACAGCCCCTCCTGGCTTCTCTGTCTTCTGCAGCACAATGTCTTGGGCTGGTGAAACATGATTTCTCTTTTCATCTGAGACAGTAGTGTTAATAGGCATGAGAGAGATGATATCACTGTTGTGTAACCTATTATAGGTGCAGGAAATGCAAAAGTGGAATAAGAGGTACCCTCTGGCTGCATGTGGGTGCCTACTGGGAAGGAACGTGCACTCTGCACATGCCCAGAGATGCTTTCTCCCTAACGCTTAGGAACGTGTGCATGCTAGAATCAGACTGCTCCTGGGTTGGCAACATAGCTGCCCCCGACTGGGAATTGACCTGCAGTTTGTCTTTATCAAGAAAGGTTTAAAGGGGTATTAGACAGAGTGGGTGGGTTGAATTTCTAATCTTGGAGGCCCTGATTGGCTTCTGTGCAAGACGAGAGGAACAAGGTATGTCTACAAGCCTAGTGACAAGCTAGGCTGTTAAATTTCAGTTCAACCACCCTTAACGTTTGCCATCTGGATGCAGCCATTGTGTCCCTGAGATGCGGGTGATGTTTTGACATGTGAAGTAGCTAGGGTTTTTTGCCGTGACATTTTTTTTAAGGTTTTACATTTTTAAATGATATGAACTGTCTTGAGTGCAGGTGAGGTGAGATGCCAACCTTTTAATGAACAAATAAATAAGAATGTCACCTGGTGTCCCTCGCTATGACGGACGATGCACCTAACCGGGCCCTCTGCTGCTCTATGGGTGTTCAGGCACCATGAGCAAGCCGGCAATTGTTTGTGAAGAGAGCACGCCTTATTCTCAGCTCTATGCACCCTCCCTCCCTCCTCTCCTTGAGTGTGGAGCCAGGATTGAAAAATTCCCCTGTTTAGGAAGTCTTCTGGCCAACCACAGGACATTGCAATGGGCGCTTTAACAAACTGTGGTTTGTTCTCTTGTGGGCAAACCGGGATTATGAACCGTGGTTTTAATCCGAGTTTAAAATCTTGATCTTCAGGCAAGGAAAGCTTTGCTTTCTGATCGCAAGTGATGGGGGAGGGGGCTCCGGTTGTGAAATGATCCACAAAGGTTTTGTGGCTCCTTGAAGACCAGCAGGTTGTTGTTCTAGCTACAAACACACAGGGAACACGGCAAAGTTAGACAACCATAAAGAAACACCATGATAGAACAAAACACACTTCTACTAATATGTACTTGTATCTTTATATATTGATTTACTTGCAATACAGACTCTAGTATATCTGATACACATACAAAAACCTAAAGTACATTGTATCTACTAATAGAAAAGTCCACAGCTATAAAGACCTATTCCAACGCTGTAGACTATCTTTGCTTTTCTGATCGCAAGTGATAGGGGAGGGGGCTCCGGTTGTGAAATGATCCACAAAGGTTTTGTGGCACCTTGAAGACCAGCAGGTTGTTGTTCTAGCAGCTGCTTTCGTGGACGAGGGCCGTAGCTTAAAAACATGTAGGTCTTTAAGGTACTGCTAGACTCCTGTTTATTTTTGTTGGTGACAGACTGCTACCCTTCTGGAGTTATTCCCCAAGGAAAGATTCCTATACTTATAACCTAAGAAAGCCCTGCTGGATCAGACCCCAAAGTCCTCCTAGCCTAGTATCCTGTTTCCACCAGTGGACACCCAGATGTCTCCAAGAAGCCTAGAAGCAAGGTATGACACCCTCCCCTGTTGTCCATCAGCAGTTCATATTCAGATGTGCAGCAACCTTGTTTAAGCTAGCTTTTCAGGAACAGAATCCTTTTCCTTGACACACTAGTTTTCTGTGGGCAGGGGCTGGTTTTTTCCCCCTAAGGAGGGATGTTGACATGTGTAATTCCCACTTGATTCTGAAGTGGTGCGGTCCAGCCTAGGTTTACCACCTCCTTTAATGCTGCTTTTGTAGAGTGATAACTTCTTCACGAAAGTGACAATCGACAGTCTGAGGGAAAGGAATTAATTATAGAGTAGTGTTGTTTGGGGTGAGGGAGTTTCCTTTTTATCTGCCCGATTCGCACCAGGAGATACTTACTAATGCGGAATGTCCTTTCTGCCTCAGGGACTGCGGCTAGGAATAAAAATGGAGGAGCAGGGCGCAGCTGGACTGACACCAGAGGAGAAATCGGAGGAGGGTGGAAGCAGGCGTGATGTTGTCCAAACGGAGGCCCTTGGGAAGTTGGTCGCCAAAGCAGTTCCACAACCTGTGAAGCAGGAACTAACTGGAGGGCTGCAACGAGGCTGGGAAGCCCAGTGGTCGGAGTTCCTGAACGTGCCTCATTCAAGAAGGAAGAACGTATTGCCCCAGTCAGGGCATGATAAAGATTTCCAGGCCTCCTTGAAAGGGGCACCTGAGGTCAGCCACTGGCCGAGAAGAGAATACGCAACCCAAACCACGACAGGCTTCAGTGGCAAAACCCCAGAGGCCTATGAAGGCCTGGACTTCTCTGTCAAAGTGAAGGAAGAAATTCCAGACGAAGAGGAAACTGTCACCTCAGAGATGCGACGCCGGCGCTTCAGGCATTTCTGCTACGAGGAAGCCTCGGGGCCTCGGGAAGTCTTTAGCCAACTCTGGGAGCTTTGCCATCAGTGGCTGAAGCCCGAGACGCACACCAAAGAGCGAATCCTGGAACTGTTGATCCTGGAACAGTTTCTGACCATCCTGCCTCGGGAAATGCAGAGCTGGGTCATGGACCGGAGACCAGAGACCTGCTCTGAGGCGGTGGCTCTGGCGGAGGAGTTCTTAACGAAATATCCAGAGGCTGAGAAGCTCTGGCTAAGTTGTCCCAAGAGACCCAGAGAAAACGATGGCGGCAAGCTTTCTTGGAATGTCTGTTGGACTGGTTTATGCCTTTCTGATATGATTTGTGGGGTCTGAAGTGACTGTAGCTTAGTGGTAGAGTGTACGCTTTGCATACTGAGAGGTCAGGTTCAGTCCATAGGACGTCAGACAGTAGGGTTGGGTTGGGAAAGTCCTCTGCCTGAGGCCTTGGAGATCTGCTGCCACAGAAAATGCAGGGCTAGATATCGCACAGATATCGCCCAGAATACCAAAGTTTCACATACAATTTTAAGACGGGGACCATAGTGTTAGAGCACATACGGGTCCTGGGTTCAGCCTCCAGCTGATGTCAGCAACGTTAGGAAAGACAGTCCTGCTTGAGACCATGGAGAGCTGCTGCCAATCATAGTAGACAATACTGGTCTAGATGGACCAATAGTCTGGCTCGGTCTACAGCAGCTTCCTGTGTGGACAGGAAACTGAGCTCTCTGATTGGATGGCAGTAAAAACGTCTGTTGCGATCCCAGGCTGTTTGAGGTGGGATGAGGAGAGAATAGAAGCTTATCAACATGTCTGTGGGCATTCCACGTCCCCTGTTCCTGTTTGTGACTCGATATTGTGCCCCCGTTTCTGTTTCAGGCACCAGGACCTTTGGAAGACGCAGCCGTTAGTCCCTCCATATCAGAGCGGATAACGTCAAACCCTGTAAAGATGTCATTTTCAAGAGATGCCGACCAAGGGAGTGACAAGGAGACTATTTTGCTGGGTAAGGCCTGAAGCTGACCGTGTGGTAAAAGTTTATTGCATGGTCGTCACAGCATGATTCTGCACAAGATTTTCCCTGTGTCTTGAGCTAAATGGCCTGTAGAATTCCTGATATCCCTGTGAGACGATTCTGGCCTCTCATGTATAGAAAGGCTCTGTAGGTGACTTTGTTCTTAGGATGCTTTGAGTATCTGCGGGAGGCTCTGGATTGGATCAAAGCAGCAGCTGAGAGAGAAAGCTGAATTCTGGTCAAAATTTTACTTCTTCACCCAAAGAGTGATTAATACATGGAATTCACTGACACTGAAAGTGGTGGCCGCTACAAGCATAGACTGCTTCAAGAGGGGATTGAATAAACATGGAGCAGAGGTCCATGAATGGTTATCAGCCATAAGGTATAGAGGGAACGGTGGCTGCGGTGGCTCAGTGGTTAAGACGCTGAACTGCAGACCGGAAGGTTGGTAGTTCAGCAGTTCAAGACCCGCGTGACGGAGTGAGCTCCCATCTCTGGTCCCCGCTCCTGCCAACCTAGCAGTTTGAAAGCAAAAGATTGCAAGTAGATAAATAGGTACCACTTCAGTGGGAAGGTAACAGCATTCCGTGCAGCGTCTAGTCATGCCGGCCACGTGACCACAGAAATGTCTTTGGACAGCGCTGGCTTGGAAATGGAGATGAGCACCGTGCCCTACTGTCGGATTCGACTGGCTTTTGAGCAAGTGAAACCTTTATCTTTATAGAGGGAACACTTACGTCTGGGGCAGTGATGCTCTCTATTCTTAGTGCTTGGGGAGCGACAGTGCCAGATCTTTTTACTGGAGATAGCGGGGAGTAGGCTTCAGGAGATCTCTACCTGAGGTTTTAGAGAGCTGCTGCCAGTCAGAGTAGACAATGCCAACTTTGGTGGGCAAAGCTTTCTCTCTCAACGGCTGCTCTGATCCAATCCGGACCCTCCCACAGCTACTCTGTGTGTCCTAAGAACAAAGTTACCTACAAAGCCTTCCTAAAAACGAGAGGCCAGAAGTTTCTCACTCAGAGTAAGGCAGCTGCATGTGTGTTCACGAGGGCAGTTTTGACTAGAAAAGGGCTATGTATTCTCTTGCCCATCATAATCACCTCCAGGGCTCTTTTTGTAGAAAAAGCCCAGCAGGAACTCATTAGCATAATAGGCCACACCCAACAGCAGAA